TCAGTAATGGTAAACTGCTTACGTCACGGAACTTTGTGTCGTCACTGTGAAATCCAGTCCGCCTCTGCTTCACTACCGATATGGAGACAGCCTTGTCCTTCCAGAATAGCCCACGACTAATTAGTGACAACGTACCCTACATCCGGTGGTAGTCATTCCATTTTAATGTAACTGCCTCCATTCTCAGGGTATAAGATTAAGAGTAATCTACCAGATTTAAGGGTTTCGTGTCCCAGTAGACATAATAATCACCTCCTAATCCGGGAATTGAACTCATTTAATTGCAATGGATGCATATAGGCGTGCTCATTTTGTTCTAGAGAAAGTAATCGCGTATTTTGAAAGTAACTGAGAAACGTAATTGAGAATCTGTAGTCAGATTTTGTGCACGAGTGCTTCATGTTACCTTAACAGACCACGACAAGTTCCTCTACTTCAAGCATCACTGACTCCATAAACATCCCTAAAATTTGTGCAAAAAGTGCAAACTGGCTAATTTCTCTTCTCATTCTAAGCTACAGAAATAGTAAGCCAGTCTGAGGTAGAATAATCGCTCTGGACAAGAATACAGAAACAGGTACAGCCGAAGTCCAGCCCCTACACAAAGTGCTCAACAACCCCCCCCCCCNCAGACACACACACACGAAATGTCTCAAACTTCAGGAGGAAGTAGAACTCACTTCACGGAGCTGAGCCCTTCTTGAGAAACCGTCAGTAACTTCCCAACATATTATGCAACCCGAAGGTTCACGGCCTTGTTCACAAGAGCCCTCTACTGGTCCCTATCCTGAGCCAGATCAATCGAGTCCATACCATCTCGTCCTATCGAGAATAGATAGTCCGAGTCCGAGAATAGAACCCAGACACATTGCGATAAACCAGCTGCTAACCTTCTTGGTCAGCGGGTCGGATGGATTTATGAGAGAAGTCGAAGATTAAAAATTTTAAAATATGGCAGAAAGGGTGTTGATTAAGTCAAGGTAATTAATACTGCTTTACAAATAATAAAATTATGTCCACCAAACTTTGTTGGAAGAGAAACGTTCAGAAAATGATCCATTTGTCATTTTTAATTTTCTTTAAAAACAGATGAAAATATTCATGTTAATACAATGTAATGGAATCTTCAGATTCTAGTCGCTGTGACTGTTAAAGAGAAGCATAGCACAGAATGATATAGTTATGCAGCTTCTGTCAATCATTCACACAGTTTCATAACCCTGAATCTATTTTTAATATCATGTTTTTTCCTTGGCACTACAGCCCCAGTGGGCCTAGGCCTACCTCCATGAACTTCTCCGTTCACTTCGGTTTTTCTAGATCTTACACATTCGTTAGGACTCCTTGGGCGGGTGATCAGCTCGTCGCAAGGCCCCTACCTGTGCACAAACACAGAAAAACGCACACACACAAACTAAGCATTCATGCCCTGAGTGGGATTCGAACCCACGATCCCGGTTTCCAAGCGAGCGAAGACAGTACATGCCTTAGACCGCTCGGCTACCGTGATCGGCTTCTTAATATCTATTCAAAGGAAATTACATTGTCTTTCAGAATTTTTGTTTTGGTGTTAACTTTGGGGTTATTTTATAAATTCCTTACTAAAGTCGAGGAGCTGGAATAGCGCAGTTGGTATAGCGACTGACTACGGCCTGGACGGTCTAGAGTCTGGAGTTCGAGTCCCGGTAAGGTCAAGAATTTTCGCTTCTCATCGTCGTCCAGACCGTCTTCGGGGCCCACCCAACCTCCTATCCAATGAGTACCGGGGGCCCTTTCCCCGAGGGTAAATCAGCAGGGGCTTGAAGCTGACCACTCACCTCCAGCTAGGGCCGAGGTCAAGAAAAATGTGGATCTATACATCCACTTCCCAGTACGCCTTAATGGTGCAGTGCTTAATTAGTTAAGTACAGGGACAACTTTATCTTTACCTTACCTCACTAGTACCATAATGATGGCATATAAATATGTCCAGATTAATCAGTGTAGCGTTTGTGGGTTGGTTCCTCTTTCAGTGTGGAAGATCTTACTTGCAAACGTGCCTGTCTGATGATTGGTATCTTCCATTAAATCAATACACTTTTCTCGCCTCACGCTCAGCTGCTTGGCATGGCGACAGTTGGCGTCCATTCTTGGATTCTCTGGCAGATCCGGCTGGAGAAGTGAACCTTGGGCAATCCAAGTTTGGCTGCAGTAATTATAAAGGCTCAGCTCCCACACATGCGCCGCGCCCTCTGCCACAGCCAACAAGGGCGGTTGCCTATCCATCACTTCTCATGTACCCTGGACTGATCTGTATGGACCGAACACAGTGAGTTCCGGATTTTCTTGAAACTCTCTGTTATGAAAAGCGAAGCATCAGCGAAGGAATATCGCGCTTTGAATATTACAACATGCCAGTTCAGTCCAGTTCACGCTACACGAAACATGTTTCGTCATCCTTTTTATTAGGTTTGTCCATCAAAATATTTAACAAGGAATATGTATTTTAACACATCTCAGCTTCCTCTATACAATAACTATAGAAGTAGGAGGTTAAGGATTGAAGCTATGAAGTTTTTTGCGTAATTATAATATAATTAGATTATACTAAATTATTATAAATAAAAAATATATTAACACAGTCAGTATAGCCACTGGCTACGAGCTCGATGACCGTGTAGGATCAAGAATTATTCCTTCTCTATATCATCCAGACTGGTTCTGGGGCACACCCAACCTCCTATCCAATGGATACCAGGGTCTATATCTCAGGGTGTAAAGTGGCCGGGGCGTGAAGCTTACCACTCATTTCCAACTAGTGTCGAGGTCAAGAAAGTGTGGGTTTGTGTATCCATTCCCACATACGTCTTCATGGCGTAGCGCTTAATTAGTTAGGCACAGGAACAACTTTACCTTTTTATGTAAATTATAATAAACAAAATCAAATACTTGAATTTAATTAAATAAAAACACTGCATGAAAGTCACGTTCTTTGCGGAGGTCTCAAGGGAAATTTTCAATTCACTCTCTTGGAGTAAAATGAAGAGTTTTTCCTATGCCTGTTGTTGGACTACATCTGCTGCAGAATCACTTTGGTAAACTAAAGCAATTTGCACACGCGCGACTCCATTTGAATCGCATACTGGAACAGCCACGTTCACACTGACACGCTCGAGACCGCAATTCCGATGTTATTTCATACATGGCTGCGTCTCCAACTTGCTATTAAATATTGTATCTGTTACGGTTCGAATCGGATGGCTTACGTCTTTTATTTCCTGTTAAATCCATTTACACTAGGATCATTTAACTTTGGGCACGAAATATGAAATTAAGTGACAATAGATCGTTTTAATGTGCTGTTTTAAAGATGCGGTACATTCGGCAGCGGCATTTAGGTCTGGCATGCGGAGTGGTGTGACTTGACCTGTACTCTCTGCAGGACGATGGCAAATAAACTGAAATTGATATGCGATTTTGGGTTTTCATTCTACTGACTAATAAGGGTACTGTGTGCTCTGTGATACAACGCCATATAGGCTGGTAGAAGTTTATCCACGTTCTGAGGAACGTACTGCCTCCATCTTCAGGGTCAAACAAAACAAACTAAATAAGGAATATGCAAGAGGCAAAGTTCTTTGTGGTCCTGCGGGCTGCATACATAAAAGCAGGCGTTTAATAATTATTAGTTGACTGGAGTAAAAAAAGTAAAAAGTAAAGCTATCCCACCAGGCCGTGAAGTCCCATAGGGTTGTGAGACGTTGAGGGTCCCACATTATCTAGACAATGGGCTCAAAGACGGCGGTAAGGTTGTTAGCCTTACCCGCCGGCAGCTCTTANTTAATGGACTGAAATTTTAGTTGTTATTTCTGTCGATTTTTATAGGCTGTTCTGTTTCACGAGACTGTATATCATAAAGGATTTTATGAACCTTTATTAAAAAGAAGTCGATGAAAATGCCAACATATTCTGTTAAAATATCCAGAGGATTAGATAACTTAAAAGAGATCCGGGATAGCAAGGGGCTACGAGCTGGACAACTTTGGTTCGATTCCCGACAGGGGAGATATTTTTCTCCTCTCCAAAATATCCAAACTGGCTCTGGGGCCCACCCAATGGGTACCGGGAGCTACTTCCCCGAAGATAAAGCGGCTGGGGTG